CAGCCCAGCCACACCCCCTGTTCTGAGTCCTTGATGCCCCAGGGAGAAGTCATTCATATCTTCAGAGCCCCTGACTTTTCTCTCCTCTTGGCTGGTGGAGGTGGGGATGGGCACTGGTAAAGGAGATGGCTCATAAGTGGAATGAGGTGTCTCTTGCTCTGGGAGAGACAGGGGAACAACTGCTACTAGGAGGCTCACACAGACGGAATGGTTTCCGGGCCCACCTTGCCACTGCAGCTAAGTCCACCCCTAGAAGACACCACCCCCAATTACACAGCCTCTGCTTCCAACCCTCACAAACATCTATTGGGCAAGTAGGAAACTATGATAATGCTCCCCATGTAACAGGTGGCAAACCTGAGCATTGGACAGGTGCAGTACATTCATCACGGTCATGGTCACTCAGCAAGACAGTGGCTGAGCTAGGGCTGGAATGGAGGACAGGGGCGTGTCTGCCAAGGAGAGAATGCTTCTCAGGGAAGCAGACCCTGCTCATTCCTTTCACGACATTCTCCTCCATTCCTTTCCCTCCATCTCCATCACCCAGAACCAAAACTTCTGCAATAACAGCACTTTGGGGTCTCCAGCAGTGAAGCGGGGACCAAGGCTCTTAGTGAACCCCTGCCTTCCCCGCAATACACAGAGGTGAGGAATCTTCAGCCCTCGGCAAGCGCCACTCTCTCACACCAAGAATAGAGAAAAGGGCTTGGCTTCCCCATAGTCTGGAGGGAACTGGCCCCCGTGTGCTGAACCCAGAGCCCTGTGAGGCACCTGGGCATTTAGTCACACAGACTATACTCCATTTTCATGTTGCTGCTTTACTTTTCATGTTTACACCCATCTCTCCATCTAGGCTACTTGCTTGTTGGGAGCAAGGATCCTCACTGATACGGTTTTGTTTCTCCCAGGAAGCCTTGGGCAGTGCTGGGCAGGTAATGGGAGCTCAGTGATACCTACCCATTGATCCGACTGGGGATGGTGCAGTGCATGTGTGGCTTTGCAAACCTTTTTCCGCCTAAGGCTTAGTTTCCTGCTGTTCTTGGCCTGTGTCTGTCTCCCTGAGAGCTCCAGGCCTGGCTCACAGTAGGTGCACTCCTCCCCCTCCTACCTCTGCTGTGTCTGTCCCTTAAAGCTGTGGAAGCACAAGCAGGCGGACAGCAGGGACAGCCTTATCCAGAGAACAAGGGGCAGCTACCTGACATTCCTTTTCTCTTGGCTAGGGTGGGGTAGCAGGTGGGGGGCCTACATATTGGTGCCATGGGCTGAGGATGGAGGAAATTAAACTCACGTTGTCCTTCTGCTCCAAAGGAGAAAGAGGGTCTGTCTAGAGCCATAGAGACTCCGGGCCATGGGGGTTGCTGACAGCGGGCAATCAGAACCCCTTCTGATAGTGGATAGTGATGGGTGTGAAATCATTCCACATTTCAGAGGGGGAACTCAGGCCCAAAAGGGAACAAAGGGGTCTAGAAACCCTCTAGCTGCTTTGGACCTTCAAAAAATGTGTGTGGACGCATCTACATCAGCAGGAAGTACTGAGAAAAGTCAGCAAGGAGCATGTAAGGATGAGGCCAGGAGAATTTTAGCATGCAAATGAGTAGGGCGAGTGGTTTACTGATCAGCCTCCACCTCCTCCTCCTTGTTGCAGGAGCTCTGAGGCCATAGCCTTGGGCTCCCTCTCTCCCTCCACGTGCTGCTCTTCTGCCAGTAGGTGCCGTGCCAGCTGCTCCAGGTCCTCCAGGCCTATCCTCTGCAGGCGCTCCTCGTGCTCCTGCCTCAGCAGCTGCAACACTGCCTTGGCATCCTGTGGCCCAAAGTGTTTGGGCAGGACCTGGCCCAGCTGGTGCCACAGGGGCTGGGGCTGGTGGGCCTCCTTTGGCACCATCTCCTCCAGGGGCCGCATGATGACATTGATAGAGGCATTGGGCCCAATGCGGTAGTCCGAGAGGCACTTGTCATCGGCCAGAAGCTGGCCACGGAAGAGCAGGTGCTGCTGCTCCTCGGGCACCTGCAGCCGCTCAGACACCAGCTTCTTCAGCGTTGCCACGCTCTCTTTCCCTGACACCTTCAGGCTGCATCTCCGGCCCAGGAGCAGCTTGACCGTGAGGAACATTGAGCCAAGAGTGGTATCAGGAGGGATCCATGCTCCAGGAGCTGCCCTGAAGATTAAGGGACCCTGCAGGAAAAGTTGGCTTCTCCCTATCAACAGAGGGCCAGTGGTCCCAAGAGGCAAGAGCCTAGCCCCAGTTGGCATCCATTGGCTATTGCACAGTGATGTCACAATGCTGTAGCAAGGCTCATTTCCAGAGCAGAACTGAAGGCACAGCAGACGGTCATTTTGGGCACAGAGCATCCTTCCTCAGTGAAAGGAGAAAGTTGGGGAGAAAAGAAAAAAAGGAGGGCCAGGGGAAAAAAATGTAGGAATAGGAAAAAGGAGAGTGGGGCTAGGGAAAGGGAGGGCTGGAAAGGACAGGGTAGCATAAGGGGAATATCTGTTGAGATATTCAACATGTGTATTGGGTGCCTTTTCCATGCAGGACCTCGACCTGAGGAGACAACTGTATCAAAACGGATAACTCCTGCCTTCATGAAGCTCTCAGACTAGTGAGCCAGCTAACACTGACCAAGGATCTTCTTGTTGTCAAGCACTTACAAGCTCTCTTGGATTGGGTTTCCTAGAAGCAGACTCAGAGACAGGGATTTGAGTCCAAGTATTCAGTTGAGAGGTGATCCCGGGGTGCACCAGCAAGGGAGAAAGGAAGTGAGACAAAGAGGGGAAGAAGGGAGTCTGAACCCTCGTTAATGAGCAGGCTGCCATTGTGGGCAACTTGTATTTTATGCTGCTGGGAAGCTCTGGGAGCTGCGCAGAATGCACCTGTCATACCACCTGAGGAACAAGAGGCTGGATCTTTAGGCTCTGGCTCCTGTCTTTGGTTGATGGGAGCACTACCTCCTTGGCCCTTCTGGTCCACAGGCGTGCAGAGCATGCTCCTGTGACCAGAGAAAACCCTTAGGCAGAGATTTGCAGGTGCCTGCAGGAAGAAGCCATCAGGCCTTCAGGAACATGAACACTGGGGGGATAGGGCAGGGCCACATGCATCACCTCAGTTAATCCTGAAAACCTGAAGCAGGTGCTGTCATGATCTCCATATGACAGAGGAGAAAGCAGAGGTTCAGCTTAATCCTACAGCAAGCAGGCATTATGGCTTTCCTCTTCACCATTACCCATGTTGCCTCCTGAAACAAACATCTGCTCATCACCTTCCGTTTGCAGGCACTCAGCAGGTGTGCAGAGCTCAAAGGCGAAAAAGGCAAGGGACACTTATTGGCCTCCTCTGTGTCAGCAATTTCGGCTGCATTGGCAGTTTTCAGAACAGCACATGGTTGAAGGCCCCCTGGGTCAAGGCCTTCAGATGTGTAGTTACATTTAAGCCCATGAGGAAGGAATAGTTGTTTTGTTAAGTGACCAAGCTTGGAGAAGACCTGGCTGATGTCTCACAGCTGGGGGGCCTTGACTCTCCCAGCACTCTGTGCTTACCTACTGTGCCCGCTAGCACCCAGCCCTTCCCCTCCCCTCCCCACCCTCCCACCTGACCTCCTCTCCTTTCCCAACAGCCTGGACTCTGCAGTGGCATGATGCTGCTGCCAGCATCCTTGGACTTTCCAGGCTTGCCTTTCCACAGCACCCAGCCCTGATCCCCGTCCCAAGGTTGCTCCAACCTCCACCCCTGTCTTCCAGCCCTGGCAGCTAAGGGCAGCTGAAGAAAACCCACACAGATGCCACAAAAGCCAGCTGGCCTTCATCCCTCACCCCACCCCCATGTTCTTACTCTTGGCAGGTGACCCAAATTCTAGTCCATAGAGGAATTTGTGCTCACAAGTCAGGAATTCTCTGACCTCCTGCCCCCACCCTCACCCACCCCTCTCCTCTCCCCTTCCAATTTGCCGCTCCTTCCCCGCCTCTGTCCTGGTTCTAAACTCATAGTTCATACCCTCCGTCATTCCTCTGGTAATACCATCCAGTTTAATCCCCTTTTCTTTTGGAATCCTCGGCTGGGTACCCAAGGCCATCATGGCCTGGCCCTGCTTGCCACCCCAGCTTCACCACCGCCCCACTCTGCATCCTCACTCCAGCCACCTGTCATTTCCTCTACTTGCTTATCCTCTTCCAACTCATCCTTTAAACTTCTGGTTTAAAATCACTTCCCTCCATGAAGACTTCTCTGCTTTCCCCATTCCTGGGCAGAGGTAATCCCACCTCCCTCTGTGCAACCTTTACTCCCTCTGAATAGACCTGTGTTGATAAATCTAGCACATCTGTGTCTCCTCATCAGCTCTTGGAAGCAGGGACTAGGTCTTTCCTATTTCCATATCCCCCGCCTCCGGCACACTGAGCCTGATAAGCAGAAGGCCTTGAATACAGGCTCGTCAAATGGAGAAGACAAAATTGAGACATGCAGGGTCCAGTAGGACAGGCCGTAGAGAGATACAAACCTGCCTGCAGCCTCTCCCTCATCCCCACCTCCTCCCCTTGAGAGATGAAAATCCAAACTTACATAAAAAAATAAATCAGAAAGTGATTCCAGTCTTTACCAAAGGATTTTCTATAGTATTTCTTTAAATAGCCAGCTACCCTGGTGCATTTGAAAGAAGACAGAATTTGCAAATGTACATAGTGTGGGAGGGACCACAGACTCTGTGATGACATGACATCTGTGCAGAGGGAGTGGGGGGAGTCCTGAGGCTTCTGCTCTGCCATTTAGGAGCACCCAGTCTCTGGAGGGGAGGACTCTGTGGTGCACAAACCATCAGAGGGACAGGATTGGGGCCATACAGTGGGAGATGCCCAGAGCAGAGTTAATCCAGGAAGGCTTCCTGGAGGGCTGAGGTTTGCATCGTCTTCTGCAGGAGACTGAAGGTGGAATGGGGAATAGAGCAGCCTGTAATCTTTCTCCCAGGCTACGGGGCTTCTGAGGAAAGGGACAGGATCCAGAGTTCTGAACATGGAGGAAGACGAGTATCAGCTGCCTGCCTCCAGCCTCTCCTCCCCAGACCTGTCCTGGGTGCTGCTCAAGACACCGGAGAAGTCTGGGCTTCTAGAAGTCTGGGCCACAGCTCAGGCTCTATCTCTCCAAGGCCAGTGGCCAGCCACACATAGGCACGTGCCCCTGTGACAGGGGCTTTGAGGGTCATGCTTTCCAAATCAGGCTACGTGGTCTAAAAGGGTCCCAGTGTCCTACTGGGCTACAAGGACAGAAACTTCAGAATTCGTGGTGTTTGGAGAAGCTGAGAGATGGTCACTGCCCAATCCCTGAGTCTGTGCCCTGAAGACCCCATGGCCCTCCCCAAAGGGACAGTGGGGGCACCTTTTTGGGTCCTCAGATCACATTTAGAGCTTGGAAATTTCATAAATTCTCCCATGTAATTGCTTGTCTTAATTAAACTATTAGCATGAGAAAATGTAATTACGTAGTCAAAGCATGCAATCAGACAATGATTGCCATAATTAGTGGGGGAGATTATGGGGAATGAGTGGGATCTGTGACTTGGGGGGAAAAAGCGAATGCATGCCCAGAGTGCTGGACAGTAGTGGGCTCGGACGCCTCTCAAAGACAACTGCAGATGCAATTAGTGCCACTGGGAAGAGAACACATGTCTGGCGGGGCAGACGGGTGGGGTTGGGAGGGTGTAAAGTGAGTGTGCCCAGAGTGTGACTAAAAACGTGCCCAGAGTGTGACTCCCCACAGGCCGGCATGGGTCACCATCACTGCTGGCACAGGCAGGCAGGCAAAGCATCCTCTGTGGATCTGGCCAGCCAAGGGGAAGAAAGGGGGACAGTCACCTGCTGACAGCTGAAGGGGGCTCTGGGCTGTGGGGATTTTATGGCCATTCCCTGGGGCTGCATGAAAAGCTCAAGAAGAAAAGTTATGCCTTCTGCCCACCTCACTCCCTGCTCCCCAGCAAGTTACCAGTTATTGCACTTTAAATGATGTCAGGATGGCCTTCCAGGGGAGGCGCCTGGGTGGGCAGAGCAGAGACCTGGGGACACTGAGAGAGAAGGAGGGCAAAAGCAAGACAGAGACAGTGGGAGAGAAAGGGGGAGTGGAGAAGGAGAAAGCTGAGCACAGGAAGTGCTCAGAAAGGGGAGAGCTGCAGGGGGAGACCAGCCAATAGGGCTGGGAGAAAAGGTGCAGTCAGGGAGCAGCACCAGGGGAGAAGGAAGAAAAGGAAAGAAAAGAGGGAAGAAGCAGGAGTGGGAAGGGGTGGTTAATGCAAACCAAGTGCAATCAAACCTCTGCAGTCCTCCCTGCTAAGAACACTGCCCCTCCTCCCCTCTCCTTACAGTCTGGAACTTTATAAAACTTTGTTAGAGAAAGCGGAATCTGGGAAGCTGTTTATCCACAGAGGGGTTGAGAGCCGGAAGCTGGGGCTCCTGGCAAACCCTGCTCCCTACCTGACACAGCCCCACCTTTCAACAGCATGTCTTGAGCACCCACTACATGCCACCACTCTGCAGGCTCTGGAGGAGCGACCATCAACAATGGTGGGAGGAGACCAGCAAGTCCCCAGATAGCCCATGGCAAGAGCTGCCCGTAGGCCCACCACTGTGCTGCTCTGTGCCAGGACAGACCAGGCAGCTCTTTAGGAAGCCCCTGACTCCAGCCCACCCTCCACAGTGCCTGGCACACAGTAGGTGCTCAGTAAGTGAATGAGGCCCCTTCCCTGCCCCTCATCCACAGGCTGGCACTGGCTACATAAAGATGGATCTGTGCCTGCTTCAGTGGGGACCCTAAAACCTCCCCCTTCCCAGGTCTTAGGGAGCTGAGGCTGAGGCTAGTAAGCCAAGCCTGCAGCCTGTGGGGCTAAGAGAGCTGGAGCAGGAGGAGGGCAGCAGATCTCAGGGCCCACAGGAGCCCACAGTCCCAGCCTTGCCCTTACTGACAGTGGGTAGCCTAGCATCTGCCAGGCCTCGGTCCTTGCCCCGGCCAGCCTAAGTCCTGCCCTGAGTTGCCATCCTGGAGCCCTAGAGAACTCAGATGCTGGCTGGGGGGCTGCTCAAAAGCCTGGTGGCCCCGTAGTCTATGCAGGTTGCACACCCTCTGGAAAACCTCATGGGGCTGCAGCCTGTTGTGACCACTAGATGTCAGTGGTGACCTCCCCAGCCAGCTCTGGTGGCTGATCCCAACTCTCGGGCCTGGGGCCTGGGCACACAAGACTGGACCAGGGGTCCAGAGTCTCATTCATAGATGAACCCCCTCCTCCCACAGATGCCAGTCATTCCCCTGCCCACCCCTCAAGGGTCATGCTCCAGGCACAGATGACAGTGCCCACCCTGAGCTGGGTGCTGTGCCAGGTGTCAAGGTAGGAATAGAGGATAGTAAGACACATCCCTGTGTGGGGAACACACAAACCATGCATAAACTTTATTATGGAGGGGAAGAACTCCTGACTCCAAATAGGGGGGAAAGATCAGGTCAGAGGGCTTCACCAGGGAGGGACCTCAGGGGGATCTGAAGGAGGAACAGGAGTTGCTCCAGTGAAGAAGTCAAGGACATCCTGGCTGAGGGCCCAGCATGCACAAGTCCATGGGAAGAGGGGGGTACCTAGCGTACTGGAGTGCAATAAGCAAGTGCGAGATGAGGCAGCGAGAAAGCAGAGAGGTCCAGTCGCCTTCTCAGAAGGGGAAGAAGATATAACAACTATACTTTTATGAAGTTGTTACAACAAGCAAACGGAAAGGACATTCTTGGGGGGGAGGGGAGAGAGGGAGGAGGGAGGGAGGTGTCGGTGATGGGCCATAATAATCATATACAGTGTATGATATAACAACTATACTTTTATGAAGTTGTTACAACAAGCAAACGGAAAGGACATTCTTGGGGGGGAGGGGAGAGAGGGAGGAGGGAGGGAGGTGTCGGTGATGGGCCATAATAATCATATACAGTGTATATTGACAAAATAAAAATTTAACGAAAAAAAAAAAAAAAGAAGTGTTCCTTACTGGCGCCAAAACTTCTGAGTTAAACACATTATACTGCAATCCGTGCAGTGCCTGACTAAGCACAGGTGTCCCAAAGGGGAGCCCATAGATATTGCTCGCTCTCTCTTACACACACACACACACACACACACACACACACACACACACACCCTGCCAACCTAACCTGGGATCAGTAGAGGGCTTTCTTTCCCACACTGTCTCTGAGCTCCACTGGGGCTATAGGAACACCAGGACCCCACCCAGTGCTACACTGCCAACAGTGAGGTCCTTCTTTCCTAGATGCCTTCTCTGGTGGGCCCTGGAGGAGACACTGCCCATGGCATGGCTGGTGGCATGTTATCTCTGTTAGGAGTACTGTAACCATGATGGACACAGGGGCATCTCCTTAGCCTGTCTGCACTCTGTGTGATTTCAGCTGACAAAAGTCATCTGCTTCAGCCTGTAGCCGTGGTACTGCACCACACATTTAAACATGCTAGACACACTCTGAACATTAGAGTAGTGATATTATAAATCCTCAGGGACTGGGATTTAGCAAGACATCTCTTCAGAGAAGGGGCCATCGTGAGCACTGGGGACAAAGGGAAGGCTTGGATTCACAAGTCCCAGGGTTGGTTATTCATCCATGCATCCACGTTTGAATTCCACAAATATCCTTGTGCACTAAATATGAGCCAGGCATTTGCACTAGACTTTGGGGAGCTATCTCTGCTCTGCAGATTTACCATGAACAAGAGGTAGTGCTAAGACTAGAACTGGACTTGGCAGGTAAGGCACCAGAAGGGCAGGTGAGACAGGAGAGAGCAATTTTCTTAAGGCCTAGAAAAGGGGACAGGTGTGAGAAGTTCTAGGCAGAACCAGCCTTTACAACAAGCTCATCAGTGTCCTTCAGGACAGGATGGAGAGGCTAACTATGAAAATTCTTCTTCCAGGCCAGATTAAGGAAGTCCTCTAGGAGGCTGTGGGCAGCACCTGTACCAACAGTGTCAGAGGCCTGAGGAGGGATTTTGGGGGCCAAATAGGAAACTGCCTTCCTCATTTGGGGGCCAGGGAATGGGGAGAGCTGAGGGCCCTGGTGGCTGAGGCCAGGACCTGATGTGCCAGACAGGGCCAGGTGAAGCATTATGGGGCAAATTCTGGTTCCATCAGGATTGGTGCTAACTCAGCATGTGTTCCCTTAATTCTCGAGTACTATTTCCCCTTGTATGTCCTTTTCTTTAATTTTTATTTTTTTATTTTAACTTCTCAGTATACATTGTAGTTGATTTTACCTGGCAGGGGAGATACCATGATCATGAAGGTGGTTTTCCCAGGGCGAGGCTTATCCATTGCCTTTGCATGTCCTTTTAAAGTGCTTCCTGAAAAATCTTTAATCTTGTCTTGGTTGCAACAATAAGAAAAAAGATTGATTCCTATCTAGGCCAGGTTACATGGAAAAGCAAAGGGCCTGCTGGGTCAGGCAGAGGGGTGGCAGCTACAGAGACCCAGCTGAGGGCCTGGCATTGGTGAGTACCTCCTAGGCATGGCTTTGATGAATGCTCCCCCCGACTCCAGAGCTGACTGTTCCCTTGAAGATCTGTGTCATCAACCAGAGTGGCAGAAACCCTCTACCATGCAGCAAAGATCAAACATGAAGTATTAAAAGGACAGAGGAGGTACCCACAGAGCCTGCCCTGAATACCTTCTGTTCTTGCTGGTCTTGCAAGTCCACAGCTGGGTCTGGATGGAAAAGCCTGTGGACACTCTAAAGATGATGCCACACTGATTACATATGACCAAAGAGACCCCTTGTTGCTTCTAGAAAGATGCAAAGGCTGGTCCTTCAACAACCATCCTTTCAGCCTGACTCTTGGTCTAAGGGTGCTAAGGCCAGTCCTTGGATGAGATCCTTGCCCACAAGACTCCGTCTGTCAGAATAGGAAGGGCAACCCCTGCTAGGGAAGATAGCAAGTAACAACTGCGTGACCTTTGTGACAAAGGATTCTGGGACCAAAATGGAGGACTAGAGAGAAAAGAGCTAAGAAAACTGGGAACAGACAGAGTGAGGCTGGCTTGGGGGGACTGAGCTACCTGTGGGACAGACCTCCCTCAGGAGAAGAG